AAAAAAAAAAAAAAAAAAAAAAAAAAAAAAAAAAACACACACACACAGAGACATGGAAGGCGGACCAAAATGTTTATAACTGAGGCTACCAGCCTTAAAATATGGGCAATTTAAAATTTCATACGGACGTGGACCATAACGATTTTACGCAATATTTTGAAATGAGTTTTATTCGTTGATGTCTTTAAGCATGTGATTAGAATACACTGCACAATCTAATATGACTACAAAAGCAAACATAAAAGACAATACTAAGGAAAGCAAGAAGAATGATCATCAAGACAAAGCAGGTGTGGTCTTGAACCAGGACCTGAAAGTTCTTTAATCCTAGTACAGTCATGTTGTCATTTGGTATTTTTATTTTTCAAATTCGTTTGTTTGAATAATTTCTAATAATCCTCCGCATGATTTGAGGCAGACAAATTGGTTGTATCTTTGTTCTGATGTCAAGTAGCAATAAAGCTGCAAGCATGCTAGGTGCCACAGACAATTCAATATTGTCGAATCCATCAATCAGGATTAAGAATATACACGAAGAAGGAAAAAAAAATAAAAAAAAAAAGAACAACTATTGCATTAATCTGACTTAGTAATAAAAGTACATACAAAGGCTAAAGATTTCACACTATATACTTCCTTAATTTCACAAATGAATATCGTTGATCCCAAAATTAATGCAGGTAGAAACATAGCAACATACGGCAATACCCTGACAACAAATTACACCCCAGAAAGTACCGCGAGATTGTAGCTCAAGTGAAACATCTCACCCTTCGTAAGGTTGTTGTGCTGGTTGATACAAGGTTCGATCCTTGTTCCTCACAGTTATTTAGGAATTTAGACTCTCCTCGCTATGGATCCCCATATATCTATGAAAAAATTACACCCCAATAAAGTAAAACCAACAAAATTACATCTGTCCCATCTCAATCCCATCAGGCCACGGCACTTCCACATTTATATACCACATATGGTGCATTCTAAATGTAATCTTGTCAACTTCTCCATATCATCTCAGCTTTGGACATAAAACAACATAAGGAACTTCACTCATTTTTGTCAATCCACTAACACAATGCGGCTAATGGGAAAAGAATCTCAGCTATCAAGTTAAATGCAGACTTTAACCTTTTTATTTTGTGTGTGTACAATTTCATTTTTATTAGAACCGGGGGAAGAGGGTGCAGTCCCACTAGGTGAAGCGCACATAAAAAGGTGAATCTAGGTGCACCTTAGTGAAGTTTCATCCAAAATCAATTGGTGATAGGAGGCTTATAAACTAGGCTCGTTTACCCTATAGAATCAATGTGGGACAATTCACAAATGAAATTCCAACACATTTATCAACAATTCTACTCTATTTCATGGCCCAATCCTTAAACAATATTGAATGCTAGATTCAAAACGAAATTCAACTTCTAATCAAAACCCATCAAATCTCAATCTCCCACGAACACAATCGAAAAATCGTCAATAACAGAGAGAAAATTTCAGCTTCCAGGCTCTGAATACAGAATTTTTTTCTCATGCCCGGAGCTAAAATCGAACAGTTTCAGAAGATAGGTAATATACCTCTTTAGAGTGGTGCAGACACTCGAAATAGTCCTCGCGGAGGAGTGTGCAGTCCTTGGGCTCCCGACATCGGGACATGCAGTCACTGAAGTCCATCCAGAAATCGTAGCAGCGGCCCTTGTTCCCCGTGATTCCCCATCCCGACGCCATTTTTTCAACGGTGTTTTTTCGAGCTTTTTCTCTCTCTCTCTCTCTCTTGTTCTGATGGACTTCTTTCTCTAAAGCCGTTCTTATTTGATTGGGCTTCGTAACAGTTTGGGTGTTCCATGGGCTTGTATGATTCACTAAGATTGGATATTAACTAGAATACCCGTGTATTACACATGTGTTTGAATTAAAAGTCATATGTAAAAAATATAAAATCTTTAAGTTTGAAAGAATTGTTTCAAACTAAAATAATTTAATTTTATATAAAATATTACTTTGAGTTTTAATTAAATTGTCAAACTATATTTTTTTATCATAATAATTAAACAGTAGTACATTAAATGAAAATGTGAACTCATATTGATTTTTTTTTTTATACTTATATCGTATAAAAATATCAATATTTTTTGCTATTCCATGAGTACAAAAATATATATCTTAAATATATAGAAATAATATGGTGATATGTATATGCATAAGCGTGGAATATGTTTGTTGAATATAAAGTAAAATAGATTAAGTTTTTTACTTAATTAGATGCCTAATAGATCAAGTGTTGTATCAGTCGTGCTTCACAATTTTTTTTAACTTTATGTGTAATATTAATATTTGGATAAATATTTATTTATTTTTATTAGATCGTCAACATACTAATTAGATTTGAAATAAATATATTTTTTTAGAAGAATAATATCGGATTATTTCATCTTAAAAATGAGTAAAATATTAATATAGGAGAGAAAGATTGAGAAATAAATTAATATGATTGACTTAGTGAAGATATGTAATAGGAAAAAAATGAAACAAAAAATAATTGGAATAAATAAGATTGTTTCAATAAAGAATAATATTTAATATATTATTGAAATAACTATGTCTAATTGACATTTGACATGACACTCATGCCTATTTTTGTATCAATCCAAAGCACAAAATTATGACAAATAGGAACCCGAAGCACACGAGTCTGTCACATAGGCTCAGCACATTTGGAAATCATATATAGGGAGACTTTAAAAATGATGAAGTATATACTTATTTTTATTATTTTGATTATCATGTGTTTTTTTTTTTTTCAAGATCATTATAATGTTAAATCTCTATGTAGTCTTTATGGAAGTTGAGACATTAACTTTTAGAATATTTATTTATAACAATTTGATATTCATAATTAGTTAAATATTTTTCTCAAATAAAATAACTCTTTTATTTTTATTTTTTTTAGAACAATAGAGAGATCTATTAAAACTCAAAGGGTACAAAGTTCGAATAAAACAAACACACCATTAAAGCCGGAAACACACACTGAGAGGACACACTAAAAGCGACCTAGAAACCCCGCAACAAGGCACGGGAGCTAACACAACCAAAGACCACCACCCAACTAAGAGCAAGAAGGAGAGTACTTAGCCACTGCTTAATGCCTAGCTAACTACAGCTCCAATAACAAAAACCACCAAAGACAAAAAAAGCAACAACTAAGAAAAAACAAAACACACACTAACTCATAACAACCAAACCAGAAGAAAAGGAACAAACAACAAGACCCTAGAGAAACTAGTCTTGGACCTTCAAAGTGGCGAACTCCAACCATTCTCTATAAGTTGCATTCATCACCACTCCGACTGGGAGATTGGTGTATTGAAAGAGCCATAAATTTCTGGATCTCCAAAGCCACCATAGCATATAGGTGGTTAGTTGAATTCTTGCTTCAGCAACATCCGAGTGGCCTATGGAGCACACCTGCCACCACCAGTAATTGAAAGGAATGTTAACAGTGCATATTCCGTCCAATTTAATTGGCCCTATCTCCCATAGTTTCTGTGCTTTTGGGCAGTGAAGGAAAATATGCTTAATTGTTTCCGGAACTTTCCCATAACTCTTGCACACCACATCAATATTCATTCATTTCCTCTTAAGATTAGTTTTAACGGGAAGTGTACTAATGCAGAACTTTCATATAAAGTGTTTCAACTTCCCTTTAATTCTAAGATTCTAACTTCGAATTCTGGCTAATTGGATCATCTTTCGGTCTGCACTGCTCTAGAAAATATCAAGTCGATGTACCTGTTGTTTTCTGAGAAAAGCATAGGAGGAAGAGACTTAAATTAACCCTTTTCTTATAAAGGCTCCAAAACATCATGTCCTCTTTTCTTGGGTCTAATGAGTTTATACTCAGGATAGTTGTACTATCAGAATAGTCAAATACTTGCTCAACCAACCATTGATTCCATGCCCAACTAGTGTCACCCAACAGATCCTTAACCCAGATATGATGTCCCCTATATCAATCAAATGTGGTTTCAATTTAGGCAGATTAGGAACCCAGTCTATGTCATCAATCATTGTGTCTTCCCCATTTCTTATTTCACACTACAACAAAAATTGCATATTGGGACACTAAAAAGTGTCCCCTATTACTATATATCGGGACACTTCTACTTATTGGGATATTTAGCATAAGTGTCTCATGTAGTGGTGTTGTGTAAAGTTTCGGGACATATTTTTGAGGCACTTAAAATGTCACATTATTTACCTTTATAAGACACTTGTATACGTCTCCAGACGTTTTCACAATACATTTAAGTGTCTTAAGATGGTTTTGTAAATAAGATAGTAATATCTCTTGGGACACTCTAAGTGTCTTGATAATAATATTTTGGGATACTTAAAGTGTCTTTAGTAGTGATTTTTGGGACACTTCAACTGTCTAGATATTAACATCTTGGGATAGTTTATAGTGTCTTAAGTAGTGTCTTTTTGGGATACTTTAGGTGTCTTGATATTATTCTCTTGGGATATTTAAGTGTCTTTAGAATCTTTTTTTTTTTTTTTTTTGACATTTGTAAATGTCTCTTAGTTGTTGATATATTTAATACATCTATTGTAATGCTTCTTGAGACACAAAAATATGTCCACAAATAAATTAAGAACACAACTAAATGTCCTAATATAGTTTCATGTATTTTCAATATGACTGTTAGATGTCTCTAAAAAGGGATAAAAGGATACATACAATTGTGGTATCAGTATGATGCTCTCGTGTCAATCACCAATGTAACACAGTTTAGACCTTTCTACATTCCTAAAATGCCACCAAAAAATAATATTCCAGTAGTCGTAACACATTACTACCAAAATATTTCTAACATAGTTTTCCACCTAAGCCAAAACTCAAAAAGATAAAAGGCCACATGTGTATCAAATTTGCAAACTAACAACTCAAAATTTCTTCCACTTGTGCATCAATACTTAGAATAAAAAAGCTCCACCATTGTCTCATCAATCATCATTTTGATCCAAATCAACCTAAACAAAGAAACATAAACGTTTAAGAGCTAATTTAGATGTATTATTAACAAAAAAAATATGCCTACACATACCAAAGACAAAGGCCAGACCACAGGAGCTCCAAGAGAGTCCCTTATCGTTTGTATATGATCATATGGTTTGATAAGATGAACATCATTTCTCATTCGATGTGAATATTTATTTCTCACCACCCATTACCCAAGTCTTCACCATTCACTCTTACAACATCCATAGAGATAACATAACGTTACACTAGCAACTACTTCATTTATGTTTTCCAAACTTTTTAAAACAACTCTAGAATGCACCTGTAATACACAATTAATATTCTTATCATTTGAAAATATTAATGGATGTTCAAAAAAATGTAAATTTGTATTACCCGTATATTTCTTGAGCGTGGTGTTGATCCAGGTGATTGGCGGCTATTTGAATGAGCAAATTGGACATTGAGTGTATCAGATTCCTCAATACTTTTCTCTAACTCTTCAGTACCTTGCTCTCCTCCATGAAGTTTTGTTAATAGAGCCTCATACTTTCTTTTTTACTCCAGAGAAGCATCATATTTCATTTTGTACTCCATTGCAAGTCTATAACTTGCATCATGACTTGGAAGCGGTCCATAAGTATCTGAGCGACTCACTCCTAAACCACACCAACGCACATACCCGTTCTTGTCTTTTCCTATCACCATTTCAAATTTCATTTGCCTTATTCAGATCATTAGTTTCATTTGAACCTTCAAGCCCTTGTCCATGTTCATCCAGGTTTTCCATCTGTTCCTGTTACCATATATATATAACAATTATATATTACGAAACAATAAAAGTAAAATTCTGATGGATAAAGTTGCTGAAGGAGTGAACTCACAACAGTATCTTGGATTACTGCACTTATATGTGGGTCACCAACTCGATAATAACACTCTTTAAATAGATCCACTTTCGATGGGTATTCTCCGTTCTTCTTTTTCTGTACATATGTTATAAAGTTACTTTATGAAATAATTACAACTTAAAAATGTTATTCTAAATATAATTTACCCAATCTTCTCTCACTAATGCATAGCTTTTCTTGCCCATGCGATGAAGCAACTCCAACTGAGCACGAGTTTCTTTGTTGTTTTTGCTGATTTCCTAAGTTGTTTATAAACAAGAACAATAAATCATCAAACAAGAACAAAATAAAAATATCATATGTTAAATCGAGACTCATACCTTAGACTTGTCAGACATCCAGTATTCAATTAAGGTCTTATACTGTTCGTCTTGTACCCTATCAGGTTTTCTTGAAAGTTTTCGCTCAAGAGGAACACAAGGATCAAATTTCATAGTCTTCACAGAAATTCTCCAACTCCGCCACTTTTTATTTATTGATTTAAGAATATACGACTCATTCCCCGCAGGTATAGCAAATTTTGCCTTCCAAAAAATATTACACAATTTGATAATGAATATGCTAAACTCTAGAAAGAAAGTAAGGTTAATATATTCAAATATATACCTTAACAATATTTAACATCTCATCCTTGTAAGAAAAAGGCATTAGTCTCCAGTCCTTATAGTGAAGAGGACAAAACTTCTCATTCCTAGCTATTGAACCCAAAAAATGTGCAAGAGTCGATGCTTTCTCATCATTTGGTTGTCCTAAATCATTGAGCGCTACAGGTTTCATGTCATCCACTGCTTGTC